ATAAGCATCAAACTTCCATCACCTGATCTTCGTAGGCTTTCATCTTCTCCCCGAATCTAGTCATTGCGCATTGAAGTAGTTATTAGTATCAGGCACAAGCGTGACCTTTGGCTTGAGTGTTGGAGAAGAAAGCTAGTTGGAATGTTCGAAAAGCTCGAACCACCTTCCTGAGACCGAGAAATAGGTTATACTCTCACGAGACTGCCTGTAAATCTTGTTGATTTCTGATAGTCTTCAGCAAAACAATATTATAGTTAACGTTCTATATCGCATGACATTTCGCTACCACTCCGTGCTAATTTGGCTATATTCCGATGGGCGGTTTGAATGATGTTCTTGTGTTTGACAATTTAGAGAAGATCCTATCTAGAGAGAGCGCGCGGGGGGGGCTTAGCAGACGACTGGAAGAATCTAGATCTATGTTATCTCCTTCTCTTCAAGACAGAGGCCACTCTCACCATATCCTCTCCTCTATTTTTATCACTGCCGTACACCAAAGCCAGTGGTAATATCGTCAAGAGCGCTAAGTATCACGATCAGAGAGAAGAGTAGGAGCTCCAGGCGCATTGGGCCATCCTTTTGGCAACAAACCTGACGGCCAAATCTTATCATTGTCTAACCCGAAAAGTTATATTTGAAGCTTGATATGTCAGAATTTGATATGTCGGGTCCCACACGAAGCTGTCTGGGGGTATCATTATTCTTGTGGAACTCTCAGATAGGGTTCCCTAGAAAGAGGAGACGAGGACGATTAATTTTACCCAGGGCTGAACGATACACAGAGAAATAGATGAGACGTAGCTCCTAGAACCTTAATTTGGTTTATTTACTCGCCTTCGCCTGAACCTGGTGCCAAGCCGTCCTTCTGAAGATCATGTTAAAGTTCCCACCAAGAGCCGCTTGTAAAACAATTTGTTTTGTATCTCTGAAATCTTGGCATCCCTTGCTATCCCGCACAAAATCCTCATTCTTGGCCATGGTATTGAGTTGCGATCGTATTACTCGGGATCTGATATGCAGGGGTCTAAGTCACAGAGAATTTTGAAGTGTGTAGACAAACTAGGAGGTATTGGCAAACGAGGCTATACTTGCCTGCCCCGAGTAATTTGTACTATCTGGAATCATTCTTGCCTACTCTTTCGTCTGTTCGAGCGTAGAAACAGCACCTAAGACACGTCGCCTGTGCTGTTGTCAAGCACATGCACAGCGTGCGAGTGACAAGTTATGTTTGAATGGTAGTATGTATTACGGTTGTTGTTCCCGTATGACCAATGCCATAAGGTAAAAACATGTACTCTATGCACAACATCCTAAGAGCATTAACCTGAGAGTCCAGCTCATCAGTGGGGGTTATAGATTACCCCACAATCTTTACCCGGCAATATGCTTCTGACATTTCCTGCAAGAAGCGGTTTCAATGCTCAACTTTCCTGTTTATCGCATAATGAAGGCATTAATCGATGCAGTGGCTTGATCAAGCTGAACATGTGCCCGTGTTACACAGCATGCAGAAACCAAATGACAACCGAAAAGGAAACCGCCCACATGGGACTCTTTTGAACCCCATGCTGTATTTTGGGATGTAAGTTGCAGAAAGGCATCTTAGTTTCTCGGTTTCCTCGTTCGGCAAAATAGTTTCAACCTATCAAGCGAAGCCTTTCATTAGTGTAAGTATGCAGTTTGAGACAGGGGATGTTTAGTATCAAGCTTATTTTGCCCTCTGACGGAGATCCATAAAAAGCTCCGCATGATTGCGGCGTAGATAGAACAAATCGAAATGTAGGTACCAACCGCTTCCCACGACCCAGCCTGCAAACGGAGGATGCTTAAACTTTGCAAAGAGAGGCTTTGGTATTGGATTTGCAGACATATTTGCACACTCTCATCGAGAGTATCGATCCCACTCCCCCTCCTCCTCCTCCTCCTCCTCTTCATCCTCCAGTACCACCAAGAGCATGGTGTAGTACCGACAGAGACTATTGGGCTTCGCTTAGAATATGTAGGTAACCGCGGCTGCGAGCTGAAAAACCAGGCTCACCAGTGCTTGCGGAGAGGAATGAGGATCTCCTACGGCGGGGCATCGGTGGAGGGATTTACTCAAGTCACATGCAAGGGTTGGGAAAGGCAACGACTGCAGCACGCGCCCCACCACCACCATCACTGAAAAACCCTGTCGCGGGGCCCCACCGCTAGTTAAGTACTGGCCGTCGTACTCGTGTCTTGATGTCCCTGCGCGGCAGTAAAAGTGGAATGCTGCTCCCATCTGTATTAGAACGCTTGACCTCCTCCTTATCTTCTCTCTTCTATCAATCAACACCTCCTTCCTCCTCACACCCTTCACTTGACTCATCATCATCACAAACGTCTGTAGTTCTAGTGGCAACACCAACCCAAACAACAACCCATTATAATACGAGAATGCACATGGAATCGAAAACAGCAGAATCGATGAACGGCCATACTAACGGTAACGGTAACGGTAAAGGTACCTCAGCTCCTCGGAGTGCAGACGTCTTAGCAGCAGCTGGGTACAAGCAGACTTGGTCGGCGGAGAAGGAAAAAGTAATAGGGCGCCAGTCTATGGGGATCTCGACAATAGCTAACCTCTGGACAGATCCTCCTCGAACCATATGACCACTTGCTCAAGCACCCAGGAAAAGACATTCGTCACCAGCTTCTGGTGGCTTTCAATACCTGGCTTAAGGTCCCTGATGCTTCGCTAGAGATCATAAGCAAAGTCGTAGCTATGTTGCACACAGCTTCACTCTTGTAAGCTACTAATCAATCATCTCTGGCTTCCCCTTGAAGGCTAATAGTTTGAGGGTTACAGAGTCGACGATGTCGAGGACAGCTCGAACCTTCGTCGCGGTGTCCCCGTAGCTCATAGTATCTTCGGTGTAGCACAAACAATCAACTCTGCCAATTACGTGTACTTTTGTGCGTTGGATGAGCTGTCAAAGCTTAATAACCCCAATGTTCTCAAGATCTTCACAGAAGAGCTCCTGAACCTTCACCGCGGACAGGGGATGGACCTCTTTTGGAGGGATTCGTTGACAACGCCATCGGAGGACGATTACTTAGAGATGGTCAGCAACAGTCAGTTCCCCCCCCCCTTTTCTACCTTTACACTTTCTATCGATACTGATTTCTGAGTTTAGAAACCGGTGGCCTCTTCCGTCTTGCTGTGAAACTCATGCAGTCTGAGAGTGCCTCTACTGAGGATTACGTCCCTCTTGTCAATTTGATGGGGCTCATCTACCAGATCCGTGACGACTACATAAATCTTCAATGCGACAAGGTACAAAAATCTCCTTAGAATCGTTTTTCTTTCGTAATGATTAAAACTAATATATCCCAGTATGCAAAACACAAAGGATTTGCCGAGGACTTGACGGAAGGGAAGTTTTCGTTTCCAATCATCCATGCGATACGCACAGACGAGTCGAATCGGCAACTCCTAAACATTCTGAAACAACACACGAAGGACTATGACGTCAAGTTGTACGCGGTTAAGTACATGGAAAAGACCGGAAGCTTCGATTATACGCGCAAAGTGCTTTATGGGTTGCACAGAAAAGCAAACGCGATGCTAGAAGAACGCGGGGGTAACCCCTTACTAACAGGGATTTTGAGCAAAATGATGATTGACGAGCAAGAGCCCGTATCACCAATCTCTTGAACATTCACATGTCTGTACGCTTATTGTTTGTTGTCCTGCATCCTTATCGTCTCCTTTCTTTGCATTCCTCTCGTTTTCGGTCTCGCTCTGGGTTGGGCATTTCTGGGGTCGGTGGATTTTGGGTTTGTCGGAGTTTTTTGAGTTTTTCGATTTCCTTTTCGTTTTCTTTTTTCTTTGGAATAACGGTTTTTGTTTATTGGGTTTTTGTTTTCTAGGCTGGGGCTGCTCTCGCTTCATTTGATTCATCATCTGCGCGGCATGGTTGCTTGTACTCTACCTGCATTGCATCGGTATCATGTACTCTACATATAAAAATCACATTTATCAAGTGAGTTAGCACATAATCAAAAGTCTCGACCACCTGTTTGGGAAACATAAGCGCATTGATGTGTATATAGCTACTATAAAAAGACACAGACGATCCCTAACCCTCCGGTGGATGGAATATTCCGGTAGCAATCTACCCGCCGGCATGGAAAATCTCCGAGGCCGAGGCCGAACTCCCGGGCTCCGGGCACTATTTCTCCGGCGGAACTGAAAGGGAATTACTCTAGAAAAACCACGGACCTGCTAAAAATAGTCTCAATGCTAATACTCCTACGCCCTTCCCGCTCATTGACAATTGACAAGGGTTGCAGTCCAATAGTATAGTTGCCTCGAGCGGCCTTGTACAGATTCGATATCACATACTCGGAATTCTATCCTTTGACCACCACCACAGCTGAGCACATACTACGCGTACGGTCTACTCGCGATATAAGGGGGGAAACTTGCTCAAAATGGAATAGAAAGGACCATTTAATCAATGACCCTGGCGTGCACGGCACGGCATTCCTTTTCTATGAGATCTGATCTGTGGGTTTCAATACTATGGATACGTAGCAAACTTTTCTTCTTTTCTTCTTTTTTTTTCTTTTTTAATTACTCTTTATTGAACCTCGACATCCACGCCGGTAGTAGTAGTAGTAGTAGTAGTAGTAGTAACATGCAGCAAGAATAGAAAGAACCAGAAAAACCAGTAGGTAAGATAGGATGTTGGGTGGGTGAAAATTGCGGATTTATAGTGACGAGAGAGAGAAGAAAGCCCAGTTTTTGTGACAACTTTGTAGAGAGAAAAGAAAAAAGAGATAATGTAGAAGGAAAAAAAAGGATACAGAAAAACACCAAAGAATAGGAACGACACCGAAGAAGTGGAAGAAGTAGAAAAGAATAGTCTTCCCGAAAGCGGAAGAAGAAAGAAGAGCACTGAAAATCACAATTGATAGAAACACGCGAAGCCTTTATCACTCCACAGCCACCCCACACTCTCTCCCAAGACCCTCTAATCACCCCCCTTCCCCGCCGTCTGGTTCAGCGACTTCTGCGCGGCCAGCGCCGCCATCTTCTGGTGGTACCCGGGGGCCGGGTTGAACTTGCGGACGGTGCGGATGTCGTCGGCGGCGTAGCCGGGGATGCGGATGTTCCAGTTGCGCTCGAGGATGATCTGGATGTCCTTGATGTCGAGGATGTCGGAGCCGCGCAGCTTGGCCATCTTGCAGGCCGTGGTGGCGATGTTGTCGATAAACTCGTCGACGAGCTCGAGGATGGACTGTATGTGCGTGTTAGTAGGGGGTAATGATTGCGAGGAGTGTGATGACATAAGCAGAGAGAGGGAGAGAGTGTGGTTAAGGGAAGAGTGGAAATGATGGGATGGATGCTGGGTGGGATTGATGGATGGGGGAATATGGGCAGAATAACATGTATCCATAGCACAAAACGGCGTGATAGTGATAAACATAGCCATCAAAAAAAAAAAAAAAAAAAAAAAAAAATGAGAAAAAAAGAAACACGCCCAAAAAAAAAAGTGACAAAAAAAAATACTAACCTCCTCAACATCCGGATCCAACTTCTCCTCAGGATCAATCTGCTTGACCAACTCCTCCAGCTTCCTCTTACTCAGCAGGCCCATGCCGCCCTCATCAAACTCGAAGGCGGGCTGCTTCACGAGCGCCGGCGTACTCATCATCTGGTTGCCCGACGAGTTCATCCCGCCGGAGAGCGTGGGTCTAGCAGGCGGCATCACAACAGCCTGCGGCGGCACGACAGCAAATGTTTTCGGAATCTCTTTGCGGAGGCCCTGCGCGTTGTCGCTGCGGCTTGGGAGCGCTGCGTCGCGCGAGGTGAGGGATGGGTGTGTGGATGCTGTTGGCGACGCCACTGACGCGGAGGATGCGGGCTGGAGACGCTGCTGCTGTTGTTGCTGTTGCTGTTGCTGCTGTTGTTGCTGCGATTGTGGTTGTTGTTGAGGGGTTGCAGAGACGGGGGTGCCGGCGGCGGTGGGGGGGCGTGCGGGTTGGACGGAGCCGGCGCGGGGCGCGGGAGAGTTGGGTTGTGTGCCGGCTTGTGCTGGGGGGACTGATGCGCGTTGCTGTTGCGAGGGGGGCTGCTGCTGCTGTTGTTGCTGCGCGGTGGGTTGCGGGATTGGTGGGCGGACGACGGTTTGGGCCTGGGCTTGCTGGGGCTGCTGAGGCTGCTGCTGCTGGACGGCCGGTGCTTGTTGCTGCTGGAGAGGCGGCTGCTGGGCTGCCGGGGACATGGTGGCTCGATTGGCGGCTGCGTTGAGGGCCGGGCCCGGTGGAGAGTCGGCTCTTGCGGCGGGGGGCACAATGTGCTGCTGCTGCTGGGCATTTGCTACGGCCACGCCGGGGTTCTGCTGCTGCTGCTGCTGGGGGTTCTGGGCTTGCTGCTGCTGCTGTTGGGGCTGCGGTGGGCGCTGTTGTTGCTGCATTTGGCCTGTGGGCTGCTGGAGAGGTTGCTGCTGCTGGGGATGATGGTTCTGCGGGTTCTGCTGGATGTTGTTTGCAATGTTTGCCTGCTGCTGCTGCTGCTGCTGTTGCGCCATCGCCGCCGCCACCTGCTGTTGCTGGTTCACGGCATGTGCCTCCGGGACCACGCCTTGCTGCACGGGTTTCTGCATGGCCATCTGGCCCTGCTGCCCCTGCTGCCCCTGCTGGCCCTGAGCCTGGGCCTGTGCCTGCGCCTGCTGCTGTCCCGCCCGCTGCTGCTGCAGCAACATCTGCTGCTGCTGCTGTAGCTGCGCCTGCTGCTGCTGCTGTTGCTGGAGCAGCTTCTGCTCCGCCAGCATCTTCTGCTGCTGCCCAAACTTGTTGATGACGTCCTTAAAGTGCTGAAAGTGCTGTGTGCTCTCGGCAATCCTGGCCTGGATCTCGCGCTGCTGCTCGGGCGTCACCCCCGGCTGCTGCGACTGCTGCGTCAGCAGCTGGATCTGGTTGCGCGCCGCATTCATCTTCTGCCCCACCTGCGTGAGCTTCGTCTGGATCTCGGTGCGCCAGCGGTCCGCGTCGGCCGGCGTGATGTTGGGCGGCAGGATCCAGGTCGAGCGTGCGTTGGGGCCCATGATGCTGTTGAGCGTGGCCTGGCCCGCATTGGTGACGCCGCCCTGCTGCGGCTGCTGCTGCTGCTGCTGGGGCTGCTGGGGCTGCTGGGGCTGCTGGGGCTGGAAGTTGTTTTGCTGCTGCTGCTGCTGCTGCTGCTGCGCGGCTTGCTGCTGGGCGCGCACGGCGCCGCGGAGCCTGTTGACGATGGTGTCGTAGCGGGCTTGGGCGGCTTGGCCTTCGGCGCTGTTGGGGCCCTTGGTCTCGACGACCATGCGCAGGCCGTCGAGGCCCGTGATGTACTTTTGCTTTGTCTCCTCGGTCATGGCGACCTGCGCGTTGAGGAGCTGCTGGATGTGGGCGCGGCGCTGGGCGGCGAGGGCCATGGGGGTCGGGGTGGACATTGCGGCAGCGGCGGTGGTGGTGGGGGGCGTGAGTTTGGGGTGTTTGGACGCGGGGGTGGTGCTGCTGTCGGGGGTGGTGGTCGAGGGTTTGCGTTTCCTGTCAGTGGTGGGTGGTGCGGACATCCACTGACTGCCGGCTCGGTCTGGGGGGTGGGGGAGATGCTGGATCCGAGTGAGGGGAGGAGGAGGGGGGGGGGGGAGGGGATATGGCCGGGAGGTGTATGTGTGTAGATTGATTGGCTGATTGATGCAGCAGTGGTTCTGGTGGTGGTGATGCCGTGCCGTTTGTCACGGACGTTGAAGTAGGAGCTGGTGGGCGATGAACGAGGGGGGGGGGGGGGGGCTGGCAGATGGTTAGATAGATAGACAGACTCTCTTGCAATCCACTGAAGTCTGATCCTCTGATGAAGATGCCTCGAGGTCAGTCGTCTGCTTTATATACAGATGATGATGATGATGATGATGATGATGATGATGATGGTATTGTGCCTCTGCTGTAACGCGTCTGTCTGTGGGGCGTTCGCGGTGTCGTGTGCTCTGCTCTGCCCGTACGTCGTCTGGTGTTTCGTTGACGTCCGGCAGCTTGGACCTCGTTGAACGCAGGGCTACGTTATTTGGTTGCTGCTTGTTCGTGGATGTACGGATGGCTGTGAGTATATTGTCATGTGCCGGGAGCAGCAGAGACGCAGCAGCAGCAGAGACGCTGGGAGCAAGAACTATCAGTGTGGTTTGCTGCCTGCCTGCCTGCCTGTCTGCTGTCTGCCTGCCTGCCTGCCCGCGGAGAGAGAGACCGAGAGAAAGGATTGATCAAAGCCGAGTGATGGCACGCAAGTATCAAGTATCCACAAGTATACAGAAGAGCCCGCAGCTGCCAATGTGATGTGGCGGAGGCAGCGAGCAGTGCAATTCAATTCAATCCAATCCAATCCAATTCAATCCTTCTCCACGGTCGGCGGCTCTGTCGGTTGCGCACGCACGCGCCCACGCGCCCACACGCCCAGGGAGGTAGCAACCCGAGAGACAGCTGTCCCACTCTGCTTCCACACCTCGATCTCTCACACACTTCCCCTCCATCACGAACATCAGCAGTCTCAGAAACAGCAATTCAATTAACCCCCCCCCCCACAGCTCACCTAAATACACACACAGCTGACCATGGATCCATTCTCAAGCGAAGGAGGTCCTACCCCCCCATCCCCATCCCCATCCCCATCCCCATCCCCTCCCCTCCCCTCCCCTCCCCACCTACCCGCTCCCACAAACAGCCAACTAACCCCCACCAGAGCTCCTCGCCATGCACACCGCCTTCTTCAGCGGCCAGTACCACGCCGTGCTCGAAACCGACACCAGCACTTTCTCCCCCTCCAACTCTCTCCCCGCACGCATCTACGCCCTCCGCTCCCGCATCGCGCTCGGTGACGCCGCCTCCGTCATCGCCGAGCTCGAGTCCGAGACCGGCACGCCCGACCTCGCCGCCGTCAAGGCCTTTGCCGAGTACACCACCGGCGCCAAGGAATCTGCCGTCGCGGCCATCGAGGGCCTCGTCGAGTCCGCAGCCGACAACGCCACGGTCCAGGTCCTTGGTGCCATTGTCCTCCAGAACGAGGGACGGGGCGAAGAGGCGCTGGGGCTGCTGGGTAACCATGTCAACAGTCTAGAAGCGTGAGTTCCACCACCCACCACCACCACCACCACACCACCACCACCACTTGGGGCGGGGCAATTGCTGACGCATGTGATGTGACCAGTGTCGCCCTCACCGTCCAGATCCGGCTCTCGCAGAACCGCACCGACCTCGCCCTGAAAGAGGTGCAGACCGCCAAGCGCTGGGCGCAGGACAGCCTCCTCGTCAACCTCGCAGAGTCCTACCTGGGCCTGCGCATCGGCGGCGAAAAGTACCAGTCGGCCTACTACGTGTTCGAGGAGCTCGCGCAGGCGCCGTCGTCGTCGACGTGCCGCACGCTCGTGGGGCAGGCCGTGGCGGAGCTGCACCTGGGCCGCCTGGAGGAGGCTGAGGTCGCGCTGCAGCAGGCGCTCGACAAGAAGGGCGACGATGCGGACGCGCTGGCAAATATGCTGGTGCTGGCGACCATCGCGGGGAAGGAGGCGGAGGAGTGGAGGAGCAGGCTGGAGGCGACGGAGGGCGCGGAGGCGCATCCGTTTTTGAGAGAGTTGAGGGAGAAGGAGGAGCTGTTTGAGAGGGCGGCGGGGAAGTATTCGGCGAAGGTGGGGGCGTAGAGGTGCGGAAGGGGCTGGAGAGGTGTTTGTTTAGGTGTATAGAGGAGTTTCAATTAGCCATTCCTGGACGCCTGTTAGGTCGTATTGAAATATGTGAAGATGGTAATTACGGGAATGGATGTGCTGATTGCTTGCTCATACATTACACCGACGGCTGCGCATGGATATATATGTGCGTAGCGTGATCAATGTAGACACGACCTCTTGGTGTAGTAGCTTCTAGAGCTTTCCAGCTGGTAGTGATCGCCCCCCGTTGCCTGTATCTCCTAACTTCCTATCGTATATCCGCCGAGTCCGAATATACCGAACCAATCATGAAATATCACTCGGTCAGTGTCTTGGCAGTGTGTATAAAGAGGGACGCACCACACTTGCACCAACTCTGATTGCGTCCCATTAAAGCAGAACCATAAAATGATCTAGCCCTCAAGGCCCGCCCGATCATATGCTCTTTTGCACTTGTTAAGCATCCTGCTGGTATCAGCATACCAAAGCTGAGATATTCGAGCACGCCCCGGGGCGGTGTTCTCTTGGCGGGTGCGCGCGCGGGTGATATGTGTAGCTCTCGAGGCTTTGAAGAAAGCTCTAGATGTGGCTATTGAGATAGAGCTATTATTTGTAGCGGTAGTAGTGGTAGCGGCCTTGTAATTCCCAGCGTGTTGAGCTTGACACTGCCTCTATTCCCGAACCTTCTATAGTCGGATCTAGGCCTTCGTATATAATGGCTATAGGCTACCAAAAGTTCTCGTGATATGATCCTGCACGAGGATGGGCCATGAACCGACTATAACTCCACAAAAGAATATATAGATGAGATAGTCATGTGAAGACAGAGCTACTCCGACTTTGTGAGCTGGTATCTTGGGGTGGTTATAGCTGCATGGTTACTAGCTATGTGGAACTTTTTGTCAACCCATAATACAGCGTCATCTGCCAAACCCGCGATAGATAGCTTATCGTCTGGCGCTCCTGGGGGGGCTGAGTTCGACACTCGAACGTTTTCCCGTTGTTGCGCCCGCTTTTGGAAGGCGTGTAGAGCCCCTCTTTGGTGTGTGTCTCGAGGAAGTAAGCTCAATGATGATTGCTGTGATGCGATGGAAGATTTGGTTTTGTTGTGATGATTCGTTAGGGGGTGCGTAAAAGAAAAAAAAAAAAACGGTCGATCACGGAGAGCCCCCCCCTTTCGATGTTTCCGCTACTGGGTGATTGCAGATCGATTAGATATGTTGTCCACCGCGCATTCCTGATCCCGGTGTGTCATGTCCTTTCACTCTATTTATTCTCCATCATGTCGAGGTCTCTCTTGGCTACAGGTTTGCCGTGAGAGCGCGAGCCTCCATATTAATTACTCAGTCCTCATCACCTCCGGTAACGCGGTATAGTACGACGCCTACCAGACCGTAAACCTCGATCATAGCTCATCACTCATATGTCTTGGCGCGCCAAGGTACCAAGACAAGCCCAAGTCCCACCACCACCACTAACACCAAATGGGTGTAGATCCGCAACACAGTGGTGTATGAAGGTCGTTTCCCCCCCCCCACCCCCTTTCGCCCCAGACATTGCCCCACAACGTCTTGATGCACCGCATTGTATTGTGGCTAAACACGTCGATCCATGACAGTGTTGATCCGTGATACAAAGTGGTGTATGAAGGTCGTTTCTTTCACGTGGGGTCTTTTTCTTTCTCGGGCTTTAGCTACCGCGAGGGCTCGGGGGAGAGGGAATTTGGGTTTTGGGTTTTGGGTTTTTGGCTGGCTCTATGGCACTGAGGGCTTGCGGGCTGTGGGCTTGAGGGCGGGAGAGAATCTTCGGAAGAAACAAAACCTTTAATTCTTACTCATACTAAGCCTAAAGAAAAAAGAACCGTAGGTTTCAACCCCGTATACAAAAGCTCTACAGCGGAAGGAAATCTCCAGCTCTTGTATACAGAGGAGGGGGGAAATGCAACAAAATGAGCCCATGGACTCGCCGTGGACAAATGCCAACCCCCTCCCCATATCCACAATAACTGCATGGTTGCTTTCTGCCTTGAGGGTGACATCGAGCGCAGACAATTGCGACCGGAATCGATGCAATGCTGATCAATGGCTTGCGTATCGCAGTCTTTGCGACATTTATGAAGGATTCTCCTGTATTGGTAAAATCTACAACCCTCACCCCCGAAACTGACTAGAAACCGGGCAGTAAGTAGGCTAGGCGGCAAGGAGCAGTACATATCCGTGCACCAAGCTCAAGAGATACGCAGCTAGAAGAGCCGCACCCCACAAAAGCGATAGCACACCTCGACCGTGGTGCCAAGAATAGAGACGCCCAAAGCCACAAGTCACCTACTTGCCCCCCACTACGAATAAAGACGGCATGCAGAGCCAGCAGGACAAGCAAGAAAACGACAAAGTACCTCGACGACGATAACAGCCAGTACTTTTTCCCCAGTATTGCAATCGAGTGCGTCACCAGAGATCACTAACCGCCAAGGGCTTGGTCATCGAGTGATTTCCCATGATTCCACCTTAATAAGGACGGGCAGGGCTGGTGCAGTGGACGAAGATGGCTGGCTTCAGACTAACTCAAAGGTCCACTCAAGCTGGATTGAGCCCACTAGGTTACAGGCATGGGCGGAAAACACAGCAGTCAATCAGGAAGGATACAGGACAAAATCTTTACATTCGTATCCCATAATAATCATCAGGGTCCTTTTTTCGGGGACCCACTATCTAGCTATGCACATGGTATTCTAGAAAGAAACCGCTCTAGCCCAGTCCGCTCTGTTCATTACATGGCTCCCACAACACCAAAAAAAAATTCCACAATAAAATAAAAATACATATTTTTACCCACCCAAACAGCATTACCACTACGGCTTCTCCAACGCCGCCTGCGCCTGCTTCCACCGATGCGCCTCTTGCAGCAGCTTGAGCATCCCTGCATTGGCTTGCTCGTCGGCCGGGAAGATGTAGTCCATGTACTCCTCGTAGCTGTCGTCGTCGAGCTTTCTCCTCTTCTTGACCTTGCGCGGCATCTGTTCCTCCACCTTCTTGATGTCTTCCGGTGTGCCGTGTGTGTTTTCGAATGATTTCCAGGCGTTGAGAAGGACAACCCGCTGTTGGTTTGTGGAGTTAGTACAAGTACCAGGGTTAAGTTTGACATGGGATGGAGGGAAATACCTCTTCTTTGAGATCCTTTGCTTTGAGACTCTTGTAAGCCCTCTCAAACACACCCCGGGCACGGGCCTTTGCCTCATCACTGACCACATCATTGCCCTCGGCGTCTTCCTCGCCGCCCTCATCTGCATTGATCTCAAAGTGTGCATATGAGATCCAGACCTTAACGTGATCTGTCTTCTGCAGCAGCCTCTCAAACAGATCCCGCGTCCGGGCAAACTCCCCGCTCTCCTCCTCAAAGTCAATATAGCTCTTCCACAGCAGTTCTGGCATATCCAGGCTCTCCTCCTCAACCGCCAGTTCAAAGATGGCGCGTACTCGGTCGTCGTCCTCGAGCGCCATCTCCAGCTCTGCATAGCGGATCCATGTCTGTGCGTTCGTTGGTGAGAACTTGATGTGGTTTTCGTACAGGGTGCGGCAGCGCGAAAACTCATGCAGACGGGTTTCGAGGGCGATATAGCCCTTGAAGAGTTTGTCTTTTGGACATTTCCCGAGCGCGTTGCCGAGCATCTTGCGTGCGGCGGTGAGGTTGCCATGTCGGACCTCAAAGTGTGCTTTGAGGAGCCAGATCTTTGCAAAGGTGAACTGCTTGTGGGGTATTAATTTGAGGCATTCGTCGTAAATCTGGCGGGTGCGGTCAATGTCTTGGCCCTCCATTTCTTCCCACAGCGCGTAGAAGATCCAAAGGTAGATGTACCGCCGCCAGTGGCGCTTCTCTTTTGTGGGGGGGATGTTGGCGATGGCGCGCTCGTAGACGTCACGGACGCGATCTTTGTCGCCAAGAGTCTCCTCCAAGCGGGCATAGTCGAACCAGACATCGTAATTCTTGGGGTTCTCTTTAATCTGCTCCTCGTACTGCACTCGGCGTTTTGAGAGAATGACGTTCTCGACGCCCTCACGCTCACCGAACTGTTTCTCAAAGGTTGTGTAGCTCTTGTGCAGCTGCTGAGACTTGCTCCGTGGTAGGCGGTCAAGGGCGTACTTGTATATGACTCTCGCGCGCTCAAACTCCTTCAGCTTTGCCTCGTACTTGGCGAACGCAATAAACAGCCTCTCGTCCATAAACTCATCTCCAAGAGTCTCCACAGCCAGATTGTACACCTCCCGCACATTATCCTCATTGCCGTACTCTTCTTCGAACCGCGCCCACTTGATCCAGTTCTTCGCATCCGGATGCACCACCGTAAACCTCTGAAACACCGCCCTTGCCCTTGCCCACTCCCCATACCGCTTCTCAAGCTTAATATATGCGCTCCAGGCTGCCTCCTCCGGCTCCCAGCTCATCCAACGTTCGAACACCTGCCTAGTACCGGGGATGTTGCCAAGCGTCTCCTCCATGTACACATACTTATACCACAGCTTATCGACCCTAGGCAGAATACTGACTGCTCGATCTAGCAAGTTGCGGGCGTGATTGATATTACGGGTCTTCATCTCAGCCTCGATGTACCGCAGCCATAGCACAACGGACTTGCTGTCGACGTCGAGGGCACGCTCAAAGATAGAACGCGCACGGGCATATTCCTTCTGGTCGAGTTCCCACTGTGCATATCGCATCCAGTTGTTCATGTTAATACGGTTTCGGCGGACATAGTCCTCGAATTCCTTGCGCTTGCGGCCCTGGAACTCGTGCAGTTCTTCCAAATCATCGAAGCGTTGGGAGGGGGCTTGCAGGCCCTGTTCTTGCCGCTCGAAGGCTTCGCGAAGGATTTGCTCAGCACTATAGAGGTACCATTAGCTCTGTGGACATTCGAGGGAGCTGTGGGCTCACTTACCTGATTTGCTGGGCGCTGGCTCCCTTGTTTTTGACACGGGGTGGGCCGCGTGAGGACTCCATGGTGAATTATAGCGAGAGTGTACGTGTAAACTGATTATTATTAGGCGTAGCCGTATTTAAGGTATTAGGGCGACTGGGAGCTATATCCACGATGTTGGGCAGGAGTTCTGAAGTGAAGTTGTAGTAGGGAAGACGTGTAGAACTGTGCCTCTGCAATCTGTTCAATGTATCAGAGCGGCCGGGTTACCGAGGACCGCCGTTACCCGCCTCGTCGGTCATTCACCCCCCCCCCCCCCCCCCCAACACACACACACGACAATATCGGATTTGGGATATCAAAATTCGACCCCTCCATTGAGGCGCTTCAATTGACATAGGAAAACCATGTTTGCTTGTCGCTCGCGGTCTGGCCTGGCACGGCTTCAGGCCCTCCACAGGGTATAATTTTACAAGCAAAACCTCGTCTAGAATAACTCAATTGACGTTCTTTGCGCCTAGATTCCGGTACTATCCCGAACGAAATTTTCTACCATAGCTCCTCTGCGACAGGCTGCTCCCGTCGAAGAGTACCCTCCACCTACCACCTTTTCGCCCATAATCTCGCACCCAGCATACACTGACGCTTTACTTTAAACCTATGTAGTGCCGACTCCCCCGAAGCCCCCGCAGGCACCCGCCTCCCGCTCTCCCTCCAAGCTATCTACTATGAACCATTCCGCCGGCAACCCACAATGGGGCTCCCCGTCTGCGACCTCCAGCTACGTTCCTACTCCGTGCGAAATCTAGAGTTTATGTGCGACTTTGCCCTCCGCGCTGCCTACTACTGCCATCTCCCCGCCTCGGGCCCTGTGCCATTGCCGAGAAAGACGGAAAGGTGGACTGTCCCCAGAGGACATTTCGTACACAAGAAGAGTCAGGAGAACTACGAGAGAGTTACGTATAAGAGGTTGATTCAGATCAAGGATGGCCACCCCGAGACAGTGGAGTTGTGGCTGGCGTTCCTCAGGAAGCACCAGTACTATGGTGTGGGTATGAAGGCAAATATGTACGGCTTTGATGAGCTCGGTATGTTTCCTCCCGGGAAGAGAGCTTATGGTGTTGGGGATTGACCATATGGTGTAGGTGTGGGTAAACGTATGGGTGTATCCCTTGAGACCATCAAGGACGTCGCCCGCCCCAGGTGGTCGCACTTCGGCTCCCGTAAGAGTTTCGAGACCGCTGAGAAGGCAAGGCAGTTACTTGAGAGCCCAGAGTATAAATCCCTATCACATGAGGATGCTTTGAAAGAGTTTACCGAGGAAGAGCATATTCAGAAGGCAGCAAAGAGCATTTTAGAAGATCCAAGATACCATAAGCACGTAGAGGAAGCAAAGAAGGAAGCGCCACAGGAAGAGAAGGTAGCAGAACAAGTTGTGATGGACAAGATCATGATTGAGGAGGAGCAAGTTCAGGCTCAGGCAGTTAAGGAATCCTTAGAGAAGGCAGAGGAGTTTACGGAGGTATCACCAAAGGTTGATGAGGTAGCACAGGCAGAGGGGATATCAAAGATCGAAGTCGAAGAAGTTCCACAGGTTTTGGAAACTCTAAGGGAGGAGGAGGTGCCGTTCAAGGTGGAAGAGACTCTCAAGGTGGAGGCAGCCGTAGATGCTGCAAAGCCCATCCCTACAGAGACTCCCGAACCCGCCCCAGAAGCCAAGGCAGCACCTCCAGTCGAGGAAGCCCCCGTAGCCGCCTCTCTCCCAGAGGTAGAACCACTTGAATCTATCCTCAAGGCCACCGCAGAGGAACCAGTAGAGGCACAAGCTGCACCAACCACACCCACTGCAACCCCCGAGGTACAGGCTATGGAACCCACACCCATCGAGCCTACGCCCAAGGTAGAAGAAGAGGTACTTACACCCATCCTCGAGACCAAGGCCGAAGCGCCCGTAGAAGCAGTGCCCTCCACCCCTGAACCAACACCAGAGCCCGCAAAAGCCGAGTCTCCGGTCGTGGCACCGGTTGATGTCCCCGTATCCACAATTTCCGAGACTGAGACGCCAGTGGAGGCTACTCAAGCTCCTGCCTCAGCGGACTCGCCAGTCGTTGAGAAGATCATCACAGATGCAAAGGAAGCAAAGGAGGAAGTAAAGGAAGTGAAAGAGGAGAGTGTTTCTCCTCAAGTAACTGAGATCAAGGCTGAGGAGGTAACTGAGGTTAAGGCTGAGGAGGTAAAAGAAGCCAAGGCAGATAGGGTAGAGGAGGTAAAGGAGGTCAAGGAGACCAAAGAGGAAGTAAAGGTAGAGGGCGAGAAGCCAAAAGAAGGTTAGAGAGATAGGTAGGTGTGTAAAATATAAGAAAGAAGATTTATTTCTAGTGTAGATATATTCAATGCGTTTCGTGCATGGTTGTAGGATGGGGCCTTGAAGGCAAGTGACGATACATTCATTTCCAGAGCCGAAAATATGGATACCATATCAAGATGCCTCATTGTATGTATAGCTTTCCCATTCTTTATCTGTGTAGCTTTGCTATAATCCAGTGGATTAATTTGAATGGCCCCAAAAAGCTGTTAAAAGGAAGAGAGAAAACCCAGTTGATTAGCAACCTTTGAGGTCTGGTTAGTATGGTTATAGAATCCGAACACGGTATTCTCTATGCTCAATATCGTGTCTAGTACCGATCTGCTCCATGGAACGGAGGAGAAAAAAATCGCAAATTGACAACGTTGGTTGATCAATTTACCTACACCCTAAAATCTAGCCCCATACCCCCACCTTTGACTCACATTGAAAGCCATTCCTGGTGAAGTAGGCTTGGATTATCTTTCATCACCGTCCAGTCTATCTTCCTTCATTCTACCCTCACAATCCATCTACTGCGCTAACTCAGTACCACAAATTAAGCCCATTGCAAACCCTCCATTTTATGATTCGCCAATTCAGGCGCTTGGTTGCGAGACAGATTGTCCCCTGTCCAGATTGGGACACGAAAAAAAACCCTCGTATTGAAGGAGATATCCACTTCGCTCCCCAAAACAGGCTAAATGAATCATCGAGTGATCACCCATGATCCAAGGTACTCCTCACAAGAACCGAAAAGAGTTAAAGAGTACCCGACAAAAAGCGCAACAAAGGGGAAGGTTAAATATAAGGCTTGGAAAGCGTTTGAAATCAGCCTTTATATTCAAGAATAAGCTCCAGAGACGGCACGAGCCTCCGCACTCCACCAAGAAAGCACAGGGACTATATGTAGCCGTGTTTTAGCTCCACTTTGATCACCTCTTAATTCTCTCATCCGTATTAATTTGGGTGACTGGTTCTGTCGCACCCCTGTTTTCATATCGTTGCTGATGGTACTTTTGGGTTCCAGGGACATCTCGGGCCCCGCCGTTATGGTTTTACTGAACATAGTGGAGAAGTGAGGAACCAACTATTTGAAGCCACATGTATGTGGTAATACACAAGCGTTTGTGCCGGGATGGCTACGCTCAGATATGTGATGATTCATAACGTTCATCTAAATATACCGGACTAGGAACCAAGATTTCGTAGGCTAAGAGCATTCGAGTGATTCTGTATGATTCGGAATATTAACTCCAGGCGCCACCCTGAGAAAATCCGGTAAAGCCAATTTGGTGTTAGGGGGGTAGAGATCTGGTAAATTAGACCTGCATGTCGGGCTCTTTGCCTTCTTTGGCTATTATCATCGATCGTATCATGATCTCGTCTCTTGTCAGCCCCTTAACATTATATACTGCTTCTCCCGGGTTCACGCCGATCATCTGCTTGTCTGATATTAAATACTGCACGTCTTTATGCAGCAAAACTCAGCTGACCGCCAATATATCTTTTGAGGGCGCCACACGCAAGGAATCCCCACAATGGTGATGAGACAGATTGCCAAGAGAATTAGGTTTAGTATGTGTAAGTATGTATCAGAGGCGTAGAGCTGAGTACCAGAGGCTATAATACACATAGGTATATTAATTGTCCCTGCGTGCCTCGATATGAGAGCGTAGAACATTCGGGATGCCTCTGCTTCAGTAGGTTCCACCGCATACCTCTCGGCATCGCATCCACGACGTGTCGTTAATATCGCTTCCATGCTTGTCAAGGATGTTGGTGTTGTTAGGGTAGGCACGGAGAAGCTTATCATGCAAGTATAAAGGAGATTTAGCGGTAGGGCAGACTTGGCTTAAGATTCACCCTTTTAAGCTATGTCGAAAATTGTGATATCTGATGTGGCCCCTAAATCCGTTTCATGATTCCTCACTCGACTCTCCATCTCATAACTATCCACTCCAAATTTTGTAACTTTTTTTCCCATTGGCAGGCAGGAACCTCCGTGAATTTTTGTATAGATTGCGTGTATGCGAGCTCAAGGCACTGCACCGTAAATTGCCTATTCTGGAGTTGATTAGGGTGTTTTTGTACCCGCAGAAACCACAGCACAGATCCTACGTAGTTAAAGTATAGCTGCAGTTTGTACAGCAGGGATAGACTAAAATGCTCTAATAAGTTCAACTACATGTAGTTTTGTAGGTTCCCATGCCCAGGGATCAGCTACAGTACACTGTGCATATGGCGATAGTATTGTGGTACGACGGGTTCTCTATGCGTATATAGAAAGTAGGACTACGTCCTAAAATGTGCGTAGTGCGTATGGGTTTAATTATTATTCAATGCCGGAGATAGTTTTCCGGCTTCGTAAGTGTAACTAATCTCGCGCAAATAAACCATTAACAGATTCTACACAGGCCATGAAAGGGGGAGCGTATGGATCAGACGTGACGTGGTTCGCCTGCTTTCGTCTCTATTCATCAGCAAAACGAATCAGAAAAGTAACAGGAACGTCACTCGGACAGGTGCCAGGGCCGTAAAGTACATGTGCATAGTCTAAATACCTACTCCACCAGTTTCGCACTGGAACAGGCCATTCTCAACGCAGGGTGTTCCAAAGTAAGGTTGCATGGTAGTTACAGGGGGAACATCGGAAACTGGTGGATTGTGTAGCCTCAAGTTTCTTCCCCATGAGCGACTTGTTGATTGGAACGAACAAGCCTAGACTAGGCCGTTGTT